TGCGATAATTTTGAAAAATTTACTGGTTAAGTCATTATGTCAGCAATCATTTCATACGTGCTTAGGTAACTAAGTTTAATTATGCCCTCAGCAAGCTTTTCACGGATGAAGTAGTTCTTGACATCGATGTGACTTGCGAAGTCGGCATACCTTATTGGTTGTATCATCAAAGCACTGTGGTTGTCGCATGTGAATCTCGTCGTCTAACTCGCCCTGTAAGAAGGCTGACACTGCAACAGTCAAGCCGAATTTAACAGCGGTGGCCAAAAAAAAGCGGATTGATGAATATCGTGCAACTGGGGAGTACGTTTCGTCGTAGTCGATGCCTCTGACTTGCGAGAAGCCTTTTACTACAAGACGTGCCTTGTATCGGTAATTGCGCCATCTGAGTTCCTTTTTACCTTAAACACCCATTTGGAGTCAATGGCTTTTCTTCCAGGTCTGCTAGCTCCCAAGTGCCGTTTTGCATTAACGCGTTATACTCACTTAGCATAGCATCGTTCCACTCTTTGCTATCTGCGCCGCTCAGCGCCTCCCGTACGGTTAATGGTTCATTAGAATTACTTACTGCTGCTATCAGCCCGAAGCTTGTTGTTCCATTCATTGCTTGGATGTTACTTTCATCGTCAGAGATTTGAATGACTGACATCTCGCATGATGAATGATGCTGAGGATTCTCCTCCTCACTGACACTATCATCACCCTCACTGAATCCGAAAAAACCAAATTGATCAACAGAAAAATTATTGCCAACATTTGAAGCATTCGATGTTTGTTGATGCGAAGTGTACTCATTCGCAACTTGAACCTGTGATGAATTTCGGTTTTCGCTGATTTGAAAATTTGATAAACCCTCACTTAATCCAAGAGATCCATCGTCATCACTGGAGTAAGCGTTTTCATCGAAAGCTTCGATTCTTTGCGCGTTTGCATTTCGTGCTTCTGTACATGGCGCTTTAGTTTCGAAAAATAATACATCACGACTTATTACTGTTTTCTTTGTTTTGCTGTTATACAATTTATACGCTTTTGCTGTTTCACAGTAACCCAGAAAAATGCATTCGTATGATTTCGAATCTAGCTTGTGTCTTTTCTCTTTTGGTATATGTACCATGGCCTTACATCCAAAGACTCGAAGAGAAGTTAAATCCGGTTTCAGCGTGGTCTAAATTTCTTCTGGCGTAGTATTTTTCATCTTTCTGCATGGAGTTCTATTTATTAAAAACGCTGCTGTGGCTGCTGCCTCTGCCCAAAATTGCATGTGCAAGTTTGCATCATACAGCATGCAGCGAACTTTTTCTATGATCGTCCGATTCATGCGCTCGGCAACGCCATTTTGTTCAGGTGTATATGGTGCTGTAAACTGATGTACAATTCCCTGCTTTCTCATCAACATTTTGAATTTGTCGTTGCAAAATTCTTTGCCATTGT